GAGAACCTACTGGCCTTCCATGTGTTCCCTTCCCTTGCAAATCTTGAAGCAGCCTTCCCTGGTATTCCGCCACAGGAATGGATGCAGCAAGAGAAGTAGAATTACCAAATCTTTTGGGGAGAAGCAAGGACTCTATGTCTGCATCATCATCATTGTGATCACTATTTATTGGCACAGAAACTTCATCCTCTTCCTTTTTTGAGACCTTTGGCCTTCTCAGAAATAGCTTAATTTTCCTCTTGCCAAACCACCCACGATGTTCTGTGGCTCTAGGAGGACTAAATCCATACAGAGCTGTTCTTCTGAATATGCAGCCTGTTCCCACGTACATGGGGCCTTGTAAGCCATCAAGAGCTCTCATGCTCACGTCAAAGAACACAGTGTTGTGATTTGCATATCTGTCACTGGGGTCAATGCCCTCAAACCTTTGAGGAAACTGAACGTAGCATATCCTATCACCTCCCCTGTCAAGCATAAAGCACATACCTTCTCTTAGAGCCAAGGAGTTGTATATGTAATGATCACAATCAAGATTCAGGATGAATGGTCCATTGGACATGATGGCACTGGTGCGAACAAGGGCATTCATTGCCCCTGCTTTCTTGTTGTGGTCATATGCTGGCCTCTTTTCACGAGACACGTAAACAAGCATGGGCAACCTAATATCAACATCTGTTGTATCAATCAAGTTATCTCCATCAGTTCCTGCACCAAATTCCGGTTCTGCATTTGGTGGAGCTAACATTGCCTACACAAATACCACGAAAGATTCGGTGTTAGGATACAAGGTTAATTATGTTTTTGTACACAAAAATGTCAAAATTACAAGTTCTCGATTAAAAACTTTAAAAGGATCTAAAATCCTGATACAGGGTAAATTAAGTTCTGGTGCATAAGAATGTTAAAAGGTTTTACTATAAATATCTAAGAATTTTATTCGTTTGATTGTGTGTAACTAAAAACTTGAATAATGATTTTAATAAACACATGAGCTAAAAAATGTGTATTTTAGATGTCTAAAAACCTGAATTATGCCAGCATGGTCCCCCCTTGAATGGTCTTGTTCCGCTGATGCCCAAGTTCCTGGCCAATGAGAACCATCGGACATCCACGTAGCTTTGGGAACCTTGACGGGTTCGGAGACACTGGCATCTGTTTCCATCTGTTTCTTCTTGACTCGTAGCTCTTCATGAGCATTGTAAGCATTGGATCTTCTCCTAATGGACTCTGGCAAGGAGTTTATCCTCACTTTGAACTCATCATATTCCCTCTTCACCCTTTTCCTCTCTCTCACAAAGTCCAACCGGACCTTATTCTTGAGAAAATCACGTTTCTGCCCAAAATAAGCTTCAGGATTTCGGGGTTCTATATTGTGCTTCCGACAGAAAGGAACCCAAATTCTTGCAAAACTAGCAGTCTCAGCAAGAGCTTCAAATGTCAACAAAGCTCCACCATCATCAGACAAGTAACAGGCAACCTTCTCCACCGGATAATCAACTGCAAGGATGGAGAGAATGGTGTTGGCAGTAACAAGAGGAGGCTCCTTTTCAGGGTCTGCCGTGGAAACAAACACATCAATTCCTGGTAGATCAGATCTTCCTTTTGGATTCCGCAGGTTTGGAGACTCAAACTGTTCTTTCAGAACAGATAGATCAGTGACTCTATTCACAGGACAGAGTTTAGGAAGCTGATCAAGAATCCAAGAAAATGCAAACCATAGCTCACAAGTTATAGACATTGCCCACAGCCACATCGCTTCATGGTTTGGGTGTTTTATCCTCCATGTAAGAAATAAACCCAAAGCAACAAGACGCAGAAGAATAAGCATCCTGAAGTCATTAGAAACTAATTTACTCATCAACCAGAATAGGCAAGTACAGAAATCGTTACAAGTTGGCATAATTTAAAAACTGATGCAATCACAAGTGTCCTATGCGAGTTAATGCTTTAATATAAGATAGTAGATATACAAAACAATGACTTTTCCCTTTTATTGTTAATACAGAAAAGAACAACCAAAACATGGAAACATGGTATGCTATGGTTAGCATATAAATAAACTAGGTCTCTTGAACATGTTTTCAGAGTCTGATTCTTGAGCCCACGTGTACGTGAAAAATCAAGATTTAAAAGAAAAAAGGTACAACAACTAAGTAGCATGTTGAGAAGAAAGAATGCAGAAAAGAAAGTGTGAAAAAAGGTTTAGAAATTAAAGTGACTGACCTATAAGGACTGAGAATAGCAGCTGAAACTCCAACCTTGCGGGTCAAGGGTCTTTTCGCTTTCTTTCCAAAATCCGGAGGGGGTTCAAACCCGTTAGCACCGTAACCATCTTTAGGCCACACAGCGTTTCCATAGCCATATGTCCCCTTCGTCTCAAACAGCCATCGCGTGTGGTCAAATTCCGGAGGATGATTCTGCGCTTTGAAAGACTTCACAAGAGAAAACCTCTTGTCCAACTTAACCTCCGCCATGGAAGGCAGAGGCAGAGGCTGATCCTCACCTTCAGACCCTTCTCCCTCTTCATCGTCTTCATCATCACTCGCATACTTATAAGGCAATTTGCACCCAGGACACTTTCCTCCAACATTGTTCCCTCCACACTCTAAGTAACACTCCCTGCAGAGCTTGAACCCGCACTCGCATGGATCACACAAGCTTCCTTTCATTGGTTCCTCGTTGCAGCCCTTCATTCCGCAAACCGACGCGGATTTCGGCAGCGCTTCGATTTCCACGGAGGAATGGCCGCGCGTCACGGAGTTGTAGCCTCCGGTGAAGATCGTTCCGGAGATGAAACTCGTGCTTCCTTTTCCGTCCTCCGAGATTGTCAGGGGCTTGCGGTCGGGCGTCGGGGGAATGTGAACGGTGTATGTCACGTACTCGGAGTTCATTTCTTCGATGCCACCGCTTTGGGAAGTGCCGGTGCCGGAGAGTCTCCTACCTCCGCCGGAAGCTCGAAGAGGAGAAGTGGGGTTGTTGGTGGAGACTGAGGCGCGAGGAACGGGACTGGTTAGTCCCATGCTTCTGCGCCTACCTCCGGACGACACCGTTATGGTGACCGGAGAGGAAGAAGGGGACGACGCCGTTTTGACCATGTTGCTAAAATTAGAAGGCGTGAGGGATTAAAGAAAGAATAGTGAGAGAACGGAAATCCTCAATGGCCTCAACATAAGCGTGTTAAGAGTGTGGATTTTGAAGTTGGAGGCAAAAGCGGGAGTAGAAGTAGCGAACAAAGGTGCAACGGTCGATTTGAGACACTTAAATGCAACGGTCGATAGATCGTGACCGCTGAATTACTTCATGCTGGAGTTGATAGATCTGGACCACTAAAGTTTGAAGTTGCTTTCGTTTTATAGTTTCTTACAGAGATCTGGTCCGTTTGAGGTGTTACACGGAGCCAAAAAAATTTAAATTTTTAATACAATGTTTTTATCAAATAAATAAAGGAATATCATTGTAATTAAAATACTAGAAACGCGTTACATGTTTCATTTCTTTTGTACTTTAGTGATTAAATATTACAACGATTAAAATAAAATATTATTCCCGATTCAATTTTTTCTTTTGTGTTTTTTAATTCTACAGATGGCTTTTTAAACAATCTCAAATTCTATTTAACTTAAAATATATTTCTAGTTTCCACGTATTCTCATGTCTATTGCATCTTTTCTTTCATTTTCTTACATTTATGTTTCATTACTGTTAAACAACCAATTTGTAATTCGTAATATGAATATTTAACACAATACAACACACACAAAAACTATTGAAAATATAATAAATAGAATTGTTTGTTTTAAGAAATTTGAAGATAAAAATAAACATTTAAAAATAAAATTTATAAAAGTTTGAAAATGATTATATTTACGTGGAAAAAAAAAATTTTAAAAGATTAATAATAATAAGACTACATATTTATCCTTATGGTTAAAATTAATAGAAAATGAAATACAATTAAAAATAATTTGAAATAAAACATAGATGATTTGTTTTGTAAAAGTTAATAGGTGTAATTAATTTTAAATAAAATGTGAATGATTAAAAATAATTTTAATTAAATATTGAATTATAAAAAAATTAATACTTGATTAATTAATTATTTTATTATTATAACTTTTATTAATATTTTATTTAGATGTTGTATTATTTTTTCTATTAATATTATTTTTAAATATATTATATTTCATTATTATTATTACAATTATTATTATTATTATTATTATTATTATTATTATTATTATTATTATTATTATTATTATTATCATTACTAGTTTATTATAGATAAAGGACTGTAAATTTCAGAAAAAAATCAAAAAGTTATCTTGAAAATTATATTTTTCATCTTAAAGAAAGAGAATTTCACCTCCCTCAAATGTTCTCCCTCATTTATCCAAAGATCCCTCGAAGGAGAGAGACATGTCATTCTCACTCATTCTTTCACAAACAAAATAACTATTAAAAGGAATACAACCGAAGTGTCGTTTGAATGTTATGTTAGTATTTGAGGTGTTGTGGATCTATACTTTTTTTTTAGTTATTTTTAGAGAACGAATTAACACAATATAGTAGAAATATTTACGTTCTAATAATACAGTAATAATAATATGCTAAAGTTAAACACACTTGAATGAATTACATTTACGTTCTAAGTATTTTTAATAAGGATAATTTTGCTAAAGAAAACTATTTTCCACAGTAATAAATGTAAAGCATAAAAGAAAATTAATATTAGCATAAACCCAAGTTACTATCTCCCCGTTGCATTTGATTTCTAGTTGAAATATTTGAATTTCACTGACATTTAGTGCAAAAATGATTTGAATTTAGCTAACATTTCATAAAATCTGAGTTTCGACTTTTAACCCATAAAATATTCAACTCCTGTGAATAAAAATAATAATATTTACTCATAATGCTGAGTCACTATACAATTTTGAATTTATCTCCCTCGCAGAGTATAAACAGTGGCAGAAAGCTTTTAAAGAGATGAACAGAAAAAGAAAAAGAAAAGTTGACTAACATATATGATGACTTTTGGATTTATACAAGTTTTCGTCTTAAATACCTTCCAGCACGATTGTGTCTATCTAGCACTACTTTCTTTTTATTTCTAAAGGAAAATTGGCCACTGGGAGATGAACTACTATCTTGTTTACACGATGCAGTGCGATGCGATGCTATGCTCTACAATGTCATACCAGCTTGCCTCTAAATAAGTAGCCAAAATTGTTAGCTCAAGCACTTTAAGAACAAATACCTGAAGCGCATTTCCGTAGTTATCTTTAAACAGAATGCAATTTGATTCACATCGAACGGAAGAATTAACATGCTGCTGGCCGCTAAAGTGGTCTGTTATATGACTAGAAGAGGATCTCTTTGAGTATCAAGAGAACTAGCATGATAAAGCACATTATAACAAGTGATGTTGCACACATAATCATCCCTCCTTTTTTCTGTGTTCTCTCTGCCTGCAATACACAAGTATATGTTTGAAATGACGATAACAGGCTAAACAGCAGCAGAAGATTCCGAAAGAAAGGCACTCCAATTTGCAATCAAAAATACTGAGTAAAGTCTACTCAAGTAACCAATAGCATGAGAGAAAACAGAACCTTTTGCAACTGCTTGAGGCCCTCTTCAACGGACGTAGAAACACTCTGAATGTTATAGTCAATTCTATCCACAATTGTTCCCTGCACGAATACCAGCTTCATGAGTCACATTTTATTCTATAAATCCATTTTATACAATGGTGGAGCATTCACCTGGTCTATCACTAGGACAGAGAGATCCTTCATGATTTGAGCAAGTTCATGGACTGATTTAACAACCTACAGCAAATTTTACTTAGTAAGACAAGGTAAGCATAGTGATTAATCTTCAAGCAACACACCGAATGCATTCAAATTACCTGTTCAATCTCTCTCTCCCTTTCCACTGAGAACTGCTCACTTTTCTTTAGCTTTGTCATCTGCTCTTCACTAAAACCCTGAAGTTAATCAAATAACAAATATCATTCATTATCTTAATTTGGATATAACTTCATCCAGGATGAAGAAGAATGTAAGTAAACATTTCATAACTTCATTGCAAGGACAGAAAGTTGTCCAGAGAGACAAATTTCATCATGAGTAAAATGAGCCTAATGGATCACGCAATTCCTTTCAAGTGAAACATCATTTCACATTCAAATAAATGGTAAATATATCGTCAGATGTTCATAGATTCAAGAAATGATGAAGTTCTTCTCCACAAACCTACACCCCTTTTCAAAACTGACATTTAAAAGCTAAAAGGCATAGAACAAAATACTAGCCAGTAAATCATGTGTTGTACACATCCATAGACACTGCATAAACACATTGAATATTATTGTTTTCATCTTTACAGGTTTTAATTCTATTTTTAAAATCCTTTTTTTTTGCCAATACAAATTAGACAATTCAATAATTGGATAAATTTAGCTTATTATTATGCATACAGTGAATGATGCTCATTTTTAAAACATGAGTTCTTTCGCGATCAAGGAAATTCAATATGTGTTAATTTTAGATTAAACTTTATACCTTATATTATAGCCATGTCGTGTCTTACGAATTTTAAAATTTGAGGTATATCCATGTCAATTGCATATAGTATTCATGTTACATGTCTTATTCATAATTCATGCTTTCTAAATTGAAAGAGGAGAAGAGGTCACTGCACATGGGCAGAAATCTTGCAGTTTTCATCATTATAATTTTGCATCAATAATTTCTAGAAAAGAAAATAAATCACCAACAATCACTTGGTAAGTAAAAATAAATGCATCCTACAGTGTTAGAATATATGAAATATATCAATAATACCTTTCTTTAATATTAAGAGTAAGTATCTGAAAGTTAATTTGATATTTGCTTATCACCTTAATGATTGGTTTTATATCTCTTTTACTATCTCATATTTTCTTTTTTTATTAACTAGGGTGTAGGATTTGGTACAAATACAAGTGGTTCATCCTTCGTAACATAACCATTACATTAATACACACTGCAAATAGTTTTTATTTTCTCCTCCTCCATCAGTACCTACATCTCCTATAATTGTTTACTCACAGCATAAGGTATCTTAAAAAATATGGCCCTGTCAGAGAAATTAGTTGCCAAAAGGAACACACATACCACATCACTGAATTCATCATCACGTGATCCAAATTTACTCCCGTTAAAGTTCATCTCCAAGTCAACCCCGTCAAAACCCTGCATGATTACACACAAATATAGACATCAGTGAAGCAACATAAACACTAATACAAAAAATAACACCGCAGTCCCACTGCTGCAGACACAGCAGAATCAAGCATTTGAATGTCGATAGAACTAACAATAGATGGAAAATAAAATAAAAAAACGATAAGTCGAGAAAAGTAGATTGATGAGTTATCAAACAGAGAATTAGACCAACCAAATTTGTGGCATATAAAGATTTTGGGAGAAAATAAGCCACACGTAAAAAGTTGCAACCTCTTTTTGCTGTTGCAGACGTTTCAAGTATGCTGACTGCTTTCGCCGAAGATCCATTGATAGGTTCTGAAGGTCTATAGCAAGGGAACGCTGCCAAAAGTAGATACAAAAATGCCAGTCATACAAATCTCAAGATCAAAACAAAACTGGCATATTATAAATTCCTAAAATTTTTGTAGCAACCAAGATCGAAGTAAATTTTCGCCCATTTACAAACCACTTCTCACCAAAGAACCATTTTCAAAATAAACAGTAAAATTATTGTGATGAAAGTAATAGTATATTTGGATGAGGGATTATAAGAGGAAAAGAGAAGGAAGGGAAACGCTTGATTAGCCATTCTCTTGCGTGGATAATCTACAAGGAGGGAGGGAAATGAAGATTTTTCACAAACCCTTCCTAACTTTTCTGAGGTGAAAAAATATATTAAGTCAAAGGAAAATTTTACATGGACACTCTTAAGTTTTCCTACACCTATGAAACACCTATTAAGAAAAAATATTTTTAATTTTGTAGTTGATGCTTCACAAATTCTTTTATATTTTAAAATAAAAGCATTATATCATTGGTGTTGGATGGATGTTCACTAAAAGATGGGGTGTTTGTTTATCATCACCCCAATACTTGTATTTTAAGTATCCCCTGTTTCCTTTACCTGGTGAATTGATAACATTAAAACATGAATAGGGTTTCACCCTACATTTTCCCTTCTTTTAACTCTCTTACACACCCAACAACAAAATTCAAATGAGGATAGGCCATAACTTCACATACAATACTCATCAAAAGCAAGGAGAAACAAGAAAAATATCCGAGTAGGCTTTCAAACGATGGGAGGAGACTAAGGCAAAATAAGGCCTCATAATCATAGTCAAATAGAAGACAAACTCTACGCAATAGCTTATATATCTTTGGGAAAGTCACCAGAGTCCTGAACTGACTGAGACCAAGCAGAGCTTAGGTTATCTACTTATCCACTAACTAACTTTATTTATTGCAACCACAACAAATAATTGCTAAAGAACCTATATCGACCTTAAGAACAGTAAGTCAATAACGGGCAACCTCCAGTGAAGAAAAAGCCAAAGTCTGAACAAATTAGTTTGCAAGGCATAATACACCAAAATTACCCTACCTGTACGTTTTTTCTAACATTAGAATCCTCAGAAGATCCGCTAGCAGCAGAAAGTCTTTTCAGCCTCACTTCAGATTTTCTAAGAAGAGATGTAATTTCCTGGGTGAGAGTCTCAATAAGACGCTGGTCCTCTTTGTCATCCCCAAAGGAAGGCAACAAAGCCTTCGAATGAGCTTTAGTTAAATCAGAAATTTTAACCCGAGCACGTTGTATAGCCGCAGCTATTTCTTCAGAATCATCCACCCAAGACGGCGGCAACCCCACAGTAACCGCATCCCTAACATTTTAAAGGTGTTATTAACTATAAAGTCCAACATCATTCAACACCTAGTTTAAGGCACTTACCCATAGGGTATCGCTATTATGCATGTGAATATATGAAATTAAAGAGCGGAAAGACTCTTGCAGAAACAAAATGGAGTGTGAATTGGTGAAAAAGTCAAACCTAGAGGTGGATGGGTCATCGGTGCTTAATGGAGCATAGGATGATCGATTGGAAGGAAGAAGCGAAACCATTTCAATGACGGGACCGGTGGAAGAAGCAGATGCGGCGGAGGAAGAGAGAGGAGCACGCACGCTCTTCACGGCGTCTCTGTGCTTCCTAAACTCCACTGTTCGATTTCTCGTCGCCATTGAATCAAAATTCAAGTAACCTCTCTCTCTCTCTCTGCTTTCCCCGGAAAACAACCAGCAACAAAAATCGTACCAGTTTTTTTTTTGGATTAGGAATCAAAAACAAGGGTCATATTTGTAAATTACTCAAGTCCGACATACCTTACTCCAGAAGAAATGAGCTTCCAAGCTCGTTTGATGTCGGAAGAATGCTGGTTAGGATTTTTAATAATTTTTTTATATATAGTTTCTCTTTATTTTAAATTATAGTTTTTTCTAATAAAACTCTAAATTTTAATTGGTCTAACTACGTTTGAATTCTTAAAATATACGCTTTAAATCTTTATAAAACATTTATGTCTCAATCTTTGTAAATTGTATGCTTTATTATGGTGTCTCTTGTATTACAAGCTATTTATTTCAGTCTTATTATTTAAGATATGTGTGATTTTGAGAAAACTAAGAATAGAGTGAAATCATTTATATGACGACTGATTGAGTGAAAAATATAAGAAAAAGGTATGCTTATGTACAAAACAACATAAATACTTCACAAAAGCAAAAGGCAAATCTGATATAAAAAGAAACATTTTTGTCTGTACTTTCTTAAACCTTCCCTTTCCATTTTCTTTCCTAGTATTGGAAGATTAACTCTTTTTCTATCCTTTTAAATGTTTTGTTTTTCCTTTGTATATTCAAACATTTCAAATAATTAATTTTGAGATGTGGTTTTACCTTTCTTCTTCTTTACCAAAAAATCTTAAGAAGCATTGATAATCGTTACGTTGTCTATGAATAAAACCTGTAAAATATTTTTTCTTATAGAGATCAGAATGATAAGAAAAATTTGTCAGTACTGAATAAAATAGTCCTATTCAAACTATTTTAATCTTCAGCTAGATTTTTGTGATGATTTATTACCACCCAAAAAAATTCTAACAATTTTATATCTTCAATTATTTTTCTTCTAATGTTGACAATAGAAATCAAAGCTTAACTTTTCTTAAGAGAATACAAATTAAATTGAGAAAAGCAATGGAAGCTAGAGGGTATAATTTAACCAACATCCAAAAGATAGAGAGGCTACAAATTTACATTTATGTTGCAAGTATAAATTACTACGAGTAAGGATTGGAATTTAGTATACTTTTAAGCCTAAAAAACTTATTTTAGCGATGAAGCGTCGTATTTATTATTAATTATATTAAGTGTGTAAAATTATAATGGTGTGTGTGTATTTATTTAAAATACTTTTTATTGAATTCAATGTTTAAGAAATCTTTTACTTTTTAATATATTTATTCATTATTTAAATTTAAGAAAGTAAGATTGAAATATGGTTAATGTTTGATATTTTATTAGTAAATTACAAAATTATCTGTATGACACATTTTTTATATCTTTAAACCTTCAAAATCCGAACTGGTTTTCAGTGGATGAGTATTTATAAGAATTTTTATTAAAATATTTATATATTTTAAGAAATTATTTATAAGTTTACATTATGTAATTCACACGAAAAAATATTTTTTTTTCACAAATATTCTTGTAAAAAAAATCGTACAAATATATCAAAGTAATATTTTGGTTAAACCCCTTTAGTTGTTCCTTTTTATATAGAGTTTTTCCTGTTTGATCTCCGTTCTTTTAAAATTCTCAATTGAGTCCTAAATAGTGCTAATTTGAGTTAATTAGATCTCTACCGTTAAATTGACTTAACGGAGTTATATTTTTGATGAGTTGGAATATTAACATGACTAGTTTTTGAAAAGTGGCATTCTCACGAGGAATTTGATAAAAGAAACATTTTATTTTTTTTACTCTCTCTACAGTATTCCTAGCCCTACCTTATACCTTGTCAACGGTGCGGTGGGCCTTCTCTGCCAGCAAACGCAAGCGGTTGGAGGTTTGTCAAATCGTATTGCTCAGGGAGCGTTCCTGAGAAGCGATTCGCGGACGTAATTAGACGCTCAAAATGATCTTGTATGTCTGAGTTTTGTCCCAGATCTTGTGGAAGTTTCCCGATGAAGCTGTTGTTGAAGAGTTTCAGCTGATGCAGGTTGGGATTTGAAGCTAAAATTTCAGGAATTTCCCCCGAGAAGGTTGTCATTTAGGTTGAGAGAATAGAGACGCAAAAAAGCTATTGCATGTGGTAGTTCTCCTGTGAGATTGTTCTGAGAGAGGTCCAACAAATGCTTGATTTTGCTGTAACAGAAACTTGTGTTGAAGGTGGATGTACATGAAGACAAAATCAAGCAAAAAGCAATGAAGGTTGTCTCTAGAATTTCAGGTATTCAATTAGATTTCAAATTCTCGAGTTCCTCATCTCTTTGGCTTCTCTGCTTTCAATGCTCAAACAAATTGAGGGGACAAAAGTGAGGGTATAAAAAATGAAAAGATAATATTGTAGTACAGGCAAAGCTGGTTTTCTTTCACTCAATTCGGTTGAATTAGCTTGAATGAAACTGGTTTTTGTTTCAGGAGATGAAGTCCAGAGAATATAGCATCAATGGCTCAATTACTAAAATTGTATTTGAAATACTGTTGAGGTGTGGAGTCAGTTTCTGTGGATATGAAAGACAAGAAATTAACCTTAATTGGGGACATTGATCCAGTACAAGTAGTTGCAAAGCTAAGGAAGTTCTGTCACACTGAAATAGTTTCTGTTGGAGCAGCGAAAGAGGAAAAGAAAGAAGAACCTAAAAAGGATGATAAAAAGAAGGAAGATGAAAAGAAAGATTCCACGAAAGAAATTGTTCCAGATCCACTCAAGTTCTATCAAACTTATGGCTATTATTATCAGATGAAACCACATTACAATCCATATTACAGTGCCATAAGTGTGGAAGAGGATCCCAATGGTTGTGTCATTGTCTAATTTTGATGTTACAGTGCCATGAAGCTTTAGGCGGCGCCGAATCTCGATCTCCGACTAGTTCACCCTAACGTTGTCAGTGGTTTTGGTTTCTACCTTCTCTAGGGGTTTCAATTGTAGGCTTTGAATTCTAATTGGTTTTATGGAGATTTGAAAGTCTCGGGTTTTGTGTCTAGCTTGATTTAGGGTTCGTGACTAATTTGGAGTTTTCAGATTTGTGATTTTGTTTTCCCTTTACTGGTTTCAAATGGTTTAATGGAGAAGAAAATAGATGATGATGAGTTCAGTTGTGTGCGAAGAGCTTGAGCACTGGTTACGTTGGCCATGGTGGCGATTTGCTTTCGTGGTGCTGGATGGAAGGAGATGAATTAAAATGAACATGACACATGGTGCTTGACTGTAATGGAAGATGACTTTTTTTTTAATTTTTTAATCAAAATGTTAAAATATTTTTAAATTTCACGTAGAGCTATGTGAATGTCAGGTTTAAAAAACTTGCCACATCAACTTCCAACCTCAACAATATTTTTTGTCAGTTTCAAAAGTTGAAAACTCTTTTTTTTTTTGTCATGTGAATTTGAGAATAACATTAATATCTATGCCTATATAAATTTTGTTTCTTCATATCCACGTTTATTTTTCAATTTTTTTCTTTAAATTATTTCTTTTAAAATTAAAATAATTATTACATTAATTTTATCATTTTCTAAAGTTTAATCGTTTTTTCAATCTAACCATTTTTTTAAAATTTAATAATCTTTCTATTATAAAATATATATATATATATATATATATATATATATATAATACATAAAAATCATTTACAATAAAATTATAAAAAATTATATTTAATTTTATAATTATAATATTAACAATAGTAATAATAATAGTTTTATTATCATAAAAAAATACAGGTGTTTTCACTAATATTTATTATAATCTAAAAATATATATATATATATATATATATATATATATATATATATATATATATATTGACTTATATATTTCATCTGGTAATATGATTTATTTTACTTCAATTTTTCTGGTTTAGATGTTGACAGCAATTTTTTTTACTTCGGATCCATGAACCTAATCTAAATAACATTAATCATAAAGTAATTAATTATGTGTTTATTATTATAACATGTATTGTTATCTTATGTCACACTGGTGTCTTGATGTTGAAGTATCTTTTGCAAACTTCCATTCTCAACTTAGATGATATCTGAATTTGATAACATTTTGAATTGGGAAGAGAAAACTTTTTGTGAAATTTTTACAATATAATCATGGTCTTGTAAGAACAACTTTAATTATGACTCATATTTGAACTCGGATTAAAAATTCTTACTTTAATGATTATGAGAATATGGTTTAAATACTCTTTTGTTCCATATTTTAGTTAATTATGTTCAATTTGATATTTTTCCAATATCGTCAAAATTGCTTGCTAACTAAAGATAATCAAGATAATCATGTGTTTTGTGTGTCAATTTGTATGTGTTTTTTTAATTGTTGTTTTAATTTAAAAAAGAAAAGGTTTTTATGTATCAAATTAACATTGTATTACATGGCAATATCAGTGTCATGTATCAAATATGTCGATTTCATATGTCAAGTCAGTATTAATGTCACATGTCATTGTCTTATATTCAATTTAGTCTCAATTTTCATTAATTTTGTTGAACCTAATTTTGATTTTTGTTAATTTTATTTAATTTAATCATAATCTTGTCATTTTCTAAATTAAGATCAAATTTATTTTTTATTAAAATTCACATTTTTATTAAATAATTTTCTTTTTATTACAGTTAAACCAACTCTATGTATATTATTGGAATATAATTATTATATTTATGTTAGATTTTTCTTCATATAAAAATAAATTTAGAGATGGTTTAAAAGTAATGAAATTTTTTCTTTAATTTTAAAAATAAAAAAAATTATCTTCTAATTTTAAAAATGAATTAGATTTTTCCTTTTAATTTTAAAAATAAATTTGAATTTTTCTTCTAATTTTAAAAATAATAATGAGTTTTTCTTCTAATTTTAAAAATAATGAAGAATTTTCCTTTTAATTTTAAAATAATGATTTTTTTATTTTAAAAGTAATGAAGAATTTTTCATATAAATTCTTAAAAAAAATTATTTTGGAATTTAAAATATGGACTGAATCGAACAAAATCAACGTAATTTAATATTAAATTGAACAAAATTAACGAAAATTAAGAATATATATAATACATGACAATCTAATTTTACACCTAGTGACACCAACTTGACACATGGTATTAATATTGTCATGTGACATAGACTTAAAATGTGAATAATTTTATTTATTAATTAAGAAAATTTTGAAAGTTTTTAAAAAATCACTAACTTCATCTTCCATTAACATTTTAGATGACGTCATTAAAAATAATCAAATTAAACATAATTTACCGAAATAACAATCACATTAAACAAAGAAAATAGTCTTATATTAAATAAAGCGAATGAAAATAAAGACAAAAAAATATTAAAGTTAAAAGTATTTATAAAAGTATTGAAAAATAATATAAGGGATTAGGGTCATCTATATTATAAATAGTATTTGTGTATTTGTATATATTGTTTGGGCTATGTGTATATTTTATATAATATGTGTATTTTAAAAGGAATATTTGTGTATACTTATATTTGTGATAGATTTGTAGTAATAGATATAAATATATTTTTGTTATTATTATTTTTCCATCCCAAATATTCCAACAAATGTGATGTGATATGTGAAAATGCAATCTATGATTCCATAAAAACATTCTTCCTCATCCCGTTGATGCCTATTATCGGGTAATCATAATAGATTTGAATGGGTTTAGGCCTATAAGGGAGGCTTCATTAAGATGTGGAGGTGGTGCAGAGGGCCATGGAGGGCGTTTGGGTAAATTTGAAATAACAAGAATTCGTGTGGGCTAAGGATCCCAACGCAACAACCACGCACAATCCTAAACCGAAAGCCCCTAGTATTTTCCTCGTCCTATTTCCCTTGACAGTAACATTATATATAAATATAAATATACTACACACCACTCCCATCCTACACCGGCACCCACAAGAAAACACAACAACGATTCCTCAGACAACTTTACCGTGTAGCCGAAATACCCTTTTATTTTTTCCTCTGTGCCTGTACTTTCTACTTAGCGCCAGTCAATGGAAGACGAGAATTTCAGTTTTGGCCGCTCTACTGCCTCCAGAAGCTACCAATCCAGGCTCAAGTCACACTTCGGTGATTTCTTATTTCAAACCTCGTTTTGTTCAATCCAGTCTTGTGGATACTGTTTTTTTTGGTTTTGGTTTTGTGGGGCGTCTGTTCTGGCTAAATGTTTAACCTTTTTTTTTGGTCGTTGAAACAGAGCTTTTCATCGATTTTGATGAGGTCAATGGGGATGAGGATTTTAGGACGGCTTATCCATGCCCTTTTTGCGCAGATGATTTTGATCTTCTTGAGCTATGTTGCCATATTGACTTGGACCATCCGGCAGAAGCCAAGTCTGCGGTATTTGATTTATCTTTCACCTTAATTTATTCCCCTTTAGTATTTTTTTTTTCAGCTTTGCATAGGAACTTTTTCCATTCCCTTTACGTTGTTGATGCTTCTTTATTGCTGCCTGGCCATGGTTAATTTATCGTAGTTGGTATGTTTTAATAGAGATATATCGCAGTTCATTGTTAGCCTTATAGTTTTGAATCAATCTCATTCAGATTGGGTGCTTTGGTGCTTTGCAAGAAAGTTCCTTCGTAGTTATTAACTTTATAATTGATTTATTGAACAGAAAATTCACAAAGTACTTAGGAAGCCAGTGCTGGTAGTTTCATTTGAAATATGTTAATTGTATCGAACAAATTGCATGTATTTTTATTACAAAAATTACCTCGTGATTATCATCGGCCATGTTTATGATGCTTGTAATTTAAGTCAATAGCTTCCTTGTCATCATTGCGGACAACGGACCTGAAATTTTCCTTTGATAAATTGAGACAGCTTTTCAAATTGACCTTTGCATTTCTGCATTCTATTGCCTCTGAAAATATCCATTTTTACTTCTAGTTCACGATTAATAGCATGTTTTGGAGCTATCCATTGATGTGATTTTGCAAAGTGAAACCTTTTTATGACGTTCTTATTGGCTTTTTATATATCTTGCATCTATGCAGAAGCCCTTAAAGATGTGGTTCCTGACAAGATCTTAGCTTGTAGAACCTGAAGTGGTTACTGCACATGATTTCGATTTAGATCTTTGCCACATCTAGAATGAGCTCCCATGTAAAGTTGATGATGTTACTTTATTGTCGGTTGATTTAAGTATGACTAAGCAAACACACACACGCCCTAGTTGGACTTTAGAGAGATTGCAAGTAACCACTGTGAACTTTTAAATCCTTCAATTGTGCAACTCCTCTTCCCCCTCAAACTATGATAAACAAACCAGATCTGTCAAACAATTCCTAGTGCTTTTAGATCACTAATGTGCTTTTCATTGAATGATAGTTTCTATAATATAAAAACGTTTAATTTATTTATCATGTTTTTATTTCAAAGTGGCTATGAGGGATGTTACAAGTGTGTTAGACGGACCATGCATGATTGTCACATAATTTACAAATCTTGTAAGAAAGGGATATAAAATTATCTGTTGTAGTATTTATCCCAATTTTAGGTTCAGTTGGCGGATTTAGAAGTTTATACTGGCTACTTGCAATAGGCTTAAAATTCAGTTGTGTGTATATACTATTTTCTTAGACAATTGATTTATTTCTCAATTTGCTTGCAATTTTCATTACTATCTATGTTTGTGCTTGTTGAATTGCACTCAGCTATCTCTATCTCTGTTTGCTCATGCAGATTTGTCCTGTTTGTACCGTGTGGATTGGGTCAAATGTCGTTGATCATATAGCAGCACAACATGGAAACTTGTTTAAGATATCCTTTCTGATCTGATTGATAGGAATGGTTT